TCTATGGGGGGGGGGCAGGAATAATGGGAGCATCTTAGAATTCTGCCCGCCTGCATGTGCCTTCTCTATACCCAGCACATACTCCATTGGTAACACCTTTAATGCTCCCTGCTAATCTTTCTCTCTTTTTTTGGATGTTTATTTATTTTTGAGAGAAAGAGAGACAGAGCACAAGTGGGGCAGGGGCAAAGAGAGATGTAGACACAGAATCTGAAGCAGGCTCCAGGCTCTGAGCGGTCAGCACAGAGCCCGACATGGGGCTTGAACCCACGAACCTTGAGATTATGACCTGAGCTGAAGTCGACACTTAACCGACTGAGCCACCCAGGGCCCCTACTCCCTGCTAATCTTGAAGGTCCTCAAGAGCATTGGGACAGCCTATTCATCAACCATTTGGAGCATTTTCATATTTCAGTAATAGCCACAGAGATTCATGTAGAACAGTATACAAATATTTAGCCTGAAATAGGAGTATGTTCTTCATGACCCCTCCTCCAGCCTCATCCCATATCTCAAATCTCCGGGAAGACACTGACTCAGCATATGTAAGAGAGAAAGGAAGAAATCGTGAAGGATATCTGCTCTTCTCCTTTTCACAGTAGGGAACCAGTCTGAAACAAGACTCCCAGCCTAGTGCTCCCTTCCGGAAACCCTGCCGACTTCCAAGTGCAGCTTGTATCGAGGTACTGTGTCCATGGCTCCTGACTTTGTAGAAAAAGCATCCCCATGACACAGGACTTTGTTTACCGTGTGTGTCCAGTGGGGGAGGGGTGGGGGAGGGGTGGGAATTCTTAATACAGAGGCCCCTTTAAAAGAATGTCAGATTCACTCAGGCATCATCTAAACTCACAGTTTGTGAGTTCGAGTCCCGCATTGGGCTCTGTGTTGACAGCTCGGAGCCTGGCGCCTGCTTCGGATTCTGTGTCTCCCTCTCTCTCTGCCCCTCCCCCACTCGCACTCTGTCTCTGTTTCTCTCTCAAAAATAAATGTTAAAAAAAATTTTTTTTTAAGTACAACTTCCTTTGATTGTGCCTCCTTTCATTCTTTCTCCGTTTGTGCTTTTATATCAAAGAGTTTTCACCACTTTGCTGGACTTCAGGCTCTGTCTTTCCCAAGAGTTTTAATCATGTCTGGGCACAGCTTTCTACTCACAGACACAGGAAAGGATTACAGATGAGTAGCGGCACCAGGCCTGATGGGGTTTAATGGGATTTGCTCAAGTCAGTGCCTTTCCTGGTCCTGCAGAGAGCAGCTCTCTTACTGGCTTGCCTCCTCCAGTCCAAAGCCTCTCCCCGGCCCAGACCCCTGGGTTCAAAGGGGGCAGTGCTAGACTCTAAAGGGCATGGAGGCTGGGTCTGTATCACCTCATTCACTACTTACTCTCCAGCTCTTAGCACAAAAGCCGGACTGGTTCCTCCACTAACGCTTGCTGAATGGGTGCATGAGTTAATAGAATAGATCTTGAAAATCTGATTCAAAAAGCTCATCTCCATCATCCCTAAAAATTCTTTTCATGTTATGGGCCCATAGCATTGGAGGCCAAGATTTCTAGAATGGGCATTTCACTTACTCTTAGGAAGAAATCCGGGTAGGAGAGGTTCCATACCTGTGAGCATGGTGCCTTGCCCAGCAGATGGCCCACCAGGGCCCTTCGGTCCTTGACTTAGATGCTCTGTGTCTCTTTCTTCATCCTTCAAGTGGGGGTTAATGGGACATTGAATTAAATTTCAATTCAAGGAGAGTTTATGGATCTATATTTATATTCACACTTCTGTTTGTTTTCATATAGTCTTTCCCTAGATCCCCATAATGGCCCCCAGAGCTGGAATGGTGGAAAATATTATCTGGGGTTCATAGCAGAGTAAACTGAGGCAAAGAAAGTTAACACTGTTTTTCCTTGGGTCACAGAACAAGTTTCTTGGAAGCTGGTCTAGAACCCAGATCTCAACCTGGGCTGAGCAAGAAATGATTCCGGCAGATGATTTTAGTACACTTGGAGAACGGATGCCAATATCAAGTAAACCCTTTCCCTGTCTGCTGAGCACAACGAATTCTCAGATCTTGACTGAGGGGTCCTAGAAAATCTTTCTCTGTTTCTAGTACAGAGCAAGGCTTTCTCCTACAAGAACATACAAAAGTATGTTTAAAAGTAAAGAAGGAAACAGTGCAGAAAATCAGCAGAAAAGCTGTTTCTCCGGAAGAGCTGGGGCAGGAGAAGGTGCTTCCCCAGGTGCCCTAGCCAGTGACTCATTCTTGCCAGCACTGCACCTGCCCTTGCCCAGAGTCAGTGGCTTGGGGAGTCCATGGACAGCCCTCCTATTAGACCCCTCTCTGGGTTCCAACAGCTGGAGTCCCCAGGAGCACACAAGGCATTGGAATTAGCAGCAATTCTCATTGTTTCTGGGTATCTCTGAGTGAGTCGTCAGTAAACAGTCTCCTACCAAGGGGCAGAGTGACATCACGCTTGGGATTCTGCAAAGCAGCACCAAGCATTTCGCTCCTGGTTTCATTTATCTTTGTAACTGCCATGTGAGGGAGCAGGGAGCAGGTGGCCCTCTGCAGAATGGGAAATGGCCAACGGATGTCTGAGACAAACAGCCTTCCTGATGACCCTTCAATGTGACATTTTAAAGGTTACCTTGAAATTGCTGCAACCGCCAAGGCAGCAGAGAAAAAGGTCTGCCAGGATCATCTGACTTTTTTGTGATGGGTGAACTCTTCCTCCATGGTTTATAGAACACGCATCTGGGATTTGCTACCAGGGACCCTGCTTCCTCGGAATGGGGGGGAGCACCTGTGAAATCAAGACAAGTTTACTTGTAAAGGTGAAGGGCTGAGTAACAGCATCTCCTGAGGTGAATTCCCCCAGGATCAGAAGCTCATAGAACTTTCCAGAATAGGCAGCTCATTAGTTGAAGCAGGAGCCATAGAACATCAATGTCTAGAAGCCATTGTATGGTGGGTCCTGTGAGACCCCAGGCTGGAGCTAAATAAACCAAGATTCAAATCCTAACACAGCCACTTAACTGAGTTTCATTGTCCTTGCCTGAAAATTGGGGGGATAATAACAGTTCCTGTCTAATAGCTTTGTTGTGAGAAATGAGCTAATGGATGTAAATTTCTTAGCACATGGCCTGGTTCATGAATGCTCAGAAATTTAAGCTGTGATTATTAACTGTAGAGATTCTCATGGTCGTTCCTAGTTTCAGCAGAGTCTTAAAGTAGTTGTTTTTTTTTTAAGTTTATTTTTTTATTTTGAGAGAGAGAGAGGCAGAGAGAGAGAGAAAGAGGGAGCAGGGGAGGAGCAGGGAGAGGGGGAAAGAGAATCCCAAGAAAGCTTCATGTCGTCAGCAACAGAGCCTGATGTGGGGCCCAAACTCACAAACCATGAGATCATGACCTGAGCCAAAACCAAGAGTCAGACGCTTAACTGTGCCACCCAGATGCCCCTTAAAGTATTTTAAATGCAAGGGGGCAGAATATCCGAAAAATAGCAGACTTTTACAGGTATCTAGATGTTTCTTTAAAGTATGGCATATCCTCCAAAAACATTTCACAGCCCTTTCTGAGAGTTATTTTTTTAGATATTTGAGTAAAATATTGAGATATTTTACTGAGATAATTGGCATGTAACATTGTATTCGTTTCAGGTGTATAACACAATGGTTTGATAGATGCATACGTTGCAAAACGATCACCACAATTACTTAACATCCATCACCACATGTAGTTACAATTGTTTTTCTTGTGACAAAGACTTTGAAGACTCGCCCCCTTAGCATCTTTCTGTTAACTGTAACCGCCATGCTGTACATTACATCCCCAGGACTTATTTTCCAAGCAGAAGTTTGTACCTTTTGACCACCTCACCCATTTCGCTGCCCCTGTATCTGTTCTCTGTATCTGTGAGTTTGGTTTTCATGCATTCTTTTTTGATTCCACATAAAAGTTTGCAGCCCTTCTGAAAACCTTAGGGGCATTAATGTCCTGTCCATTTCAGTTTTTTGGAGGCCACAGAATTACTGTGTCAAGATTTTTAATGGTGGGTCTACACTTCAATTTGTCATATTACTAAGTGCTCAGGCAGCACTCCCCACTCAGACGGGAGGAGTGACCACATGGTGAATCCGACACCCACTGCCTTTTCCTTTCTGTCTGCTGCTGAGATCTGAGACAAAAAGAGAGGAGACAGGGAGATAAAAAGAAAAAAACACAGACTTTGGGCCCAGTGATCAAGAATCCAGATTATCAGCTCCCGTACATACATGTTTGGTGGCCCAGGTAGCACTTAATCACTTCCTGCTTTGGGACTCTATTTTCTTATTTATTTATTCATTTATCCAATAAGTACTTTTTGAGGATACAGTATGTTCTGGGCTAGCCTCTGGGTATTTGGAATATATGAGGGAACAAAACAGACACAACTGTGCCCATGCGGAGCTTACATTCTAATGGGGGGGGTACTATTAGAAATAAATAGACGCTTAAGCAAACGGTGAGACCCCACGCTCCAACTCCAACCAGTTGTCGTGATAACAAGTGATGGTCCATGTGTAATGCATGGACTGTAGCAGGCACTTAATAAATTGTTGTGATTTTATTTTTTAAATTGCTCCCACATATCTTTAAATCCCTTCAACACGATGTGCGGTTTGCACCTGCATACTTTCTCATCCAACAAACAACTATTCCTTCCTCCCTCCCTCCCACTTCCCTCGCTTACTCCCTTCCTTCCTTCCTTCCTTCCATCCTTCCTTCAGCAAGCAACTATTGAGCTGCTACTATATGCTAGAACCTGTAGTGGGCTCCAGGGATACAAGCAGGTAATATAAGAAAACATGGTCCCTGCCCTTGAGAACGCCACAGTAGGGTCTACTGTATACCAGATGAGGGGCCTTTGAGAACCCAGAAGCAAGGGTGACCTTGAAGGCCTGTGTTTCTGTGAATCAGAACAGTCCACTTCACTGATGATGTCTTTTTTAACTCCACGCATCCCAGCTATGGCTGGCGATTCTAGGAATGCTATGAACCAGGATATGGAGATTGGAGTCACTCCCAGGGACCCTAAGAAGATTCCCAAACAGGCCCGGGATTACATCCCCATTGCCACAGACCGCACCCGTCTGCTGGCAGAAGGCAAGAAGCCCCGCCAGCGCTACATGGAAAAGAGTGGCAAGTGCAACGTCCACCATGGCAACGTCCAAGAAACCTATAGGTACCTGAGCGACCTCTTCACCACCCTGGTGGACCTCAAATGGCGCTTCAACCTGCTTGTCTTCACGATGGTCTACACCATCACTTGGCTGTTCTTTGGTTTCATTTGGTGGCTGATTGCCTACATCCGAGGTGATCTGGACCACGTTGGTGACCAAGATTGGATTCCTTGTGTTGAAAACCTCAGTGGCTTTGTGTCTGCCTTCCTGTTCTCCATTGAGACTGAAACCACCATCGGGTATGGCTTTCGGGTGATCACAGAGAAGTGTCCAGAGGGGATCATACTCCTCTTGGTCCAGGCCATCCTTGGCTCCATCGTCAATGCATTCATGGTGGGGTGCATGTTTGTCAAGATCAGTCAGCCAAAGAAGAGAGCAGAGACCCTCATGTTTTCCAACAACGCGGTCATCTCCATGCGGGACGAGAAGCTCTGCCTCATGTTCCGGGTGGGTGACCTTCGCAACTCCCACATTGTGGAGGCCTCCATCCGCGCCAAACTCATCAAGTCCCGGCAGACCAAAGAAGGGGAGTTCATCCCCCTGAACCAGACGGACATTAACGTGGGCTTCGACACTGGGGATGACCGTCTCTTCCTGGTGTCTCCGCTCATCATCTCCCACGAGATAAATGAGAAGAGCCCTTTCTGGGAGATGTCTCGGGCCCAGCTGGATCAGGAGGAGTTTGAAGTCGTGGTCATTCTAGAAGGGATGGTGGAAGCAACAGGTAAGACACTTTATCTTCCTCGGCCACAGAACCTTCCAACGTGCCCGGGAGCTTAGGTCACCAGGACTAGAAGGTGGAGGTTGGTGCCTAAGAATCCTGGGATGGCACACTCAGCCAGCCCAGTCTCTAACGGTGTGACCTGAGGGGTGTATTCAAGAGGGAATAACAACAGCTAATGTTCACTGAACCCTCCGATTGCCCCACGCAGTTCTAAACTTTCAACGTATCATATTGCCTTTAATGCCCTCCCACCTCCGGTGAGATGATGGTCCTTAAGTTACAGATAAAGAAACAGAGGCACAGACAGGCAGGCTATTGGTCTACTTTTTGTCCAAGAGCCAGTCAAAGAGCCAGGATGCCTGTGAAGGCAGGGGGCCTCAAAGCTGGCCCTTGCTTTCAGCAGGCCACGCTGCCCCACCCCATCCTGGAGCACATGTCTACCCAAACAGAGTTCTGTGACCAGAGAACTTGGAGAAATACAGTCAAACAGGGTGCCCTGGCTTCTTTACAGCAGGACTTGACGGTGTCTCCCCGTGCTGCGGGTCACTCTGCGAGAAGAGGCTCTGGTGTGGCATTTCCCAAACACAAGGATTCCCAAAGTCACAGGATCCTGTTTTGGGAGAGAGGCCCATGCCCCAGGGCCATGGGAGCAGCTCTTCTGGCTGGCCCCCCTCTGGAGAAGCCTGTCCATAAGCTTCCCTGCGGAAGGCCAGCTGAGTGAACACAGGGCGAGCCGAAAACAGGGTATCTACACCCCACGCAAACGCCCTCTTCGTGGCCAGTCTGGCACCTCCCTGCTCAGCTGTGAACCCTCACAGGCAGCTGGTAGCCCTTCCTCAAAGGCCAAGGCCTCTTTGCGGGGGCTCCAGGGAGCACGAGCCCCCACTCCCACCACCCCTGCCACACCTCCTGGGGTAAGGAGCCCTCCGGCAGAACCCTGCACCCTGCTTCTTCTTTCTTTTCCTCTCCTTGCCTTCTTTTCTCTTCTTTTCACCCAGTAGACGGAGCACTCGGAGAAAACGCACTCAGGCTCGGAATGATAAGTAGTTTTCTAATAGTCGCCACAGCACCCCAGGGTCACTCCAGTCCCGTCTAGCAGACATTGATGCTGCATCGCACAGCTTCGTGCAGACAGAAGGTGTTCATAGTCAGGTATTCCACTTACAGATCCAGAGTTTTGTCTGCCGCACCACACCGCCTCCCAGAATTTCAGCGGCCTGTCACAAAGATGGCCAAACAAGCCTTCCTCACCTTTCGGAGGCTGGTGGCTGGGTGGGAAACTCAGACGGGGCATTCACAAACCTTCCCACTTGGACGGAGCCTGGGGAAGCTGGCTGGGGGTGCAAACAGGCTCCAGGGACGGGCGCGGGGGTGCTGCTCGGCCATCTGCTGGGGGCTGGAGCCTGGCCAGACGGCATATGGTGGCAGCCGAGGGAGCCCCTGGGGCCAAGGACAGTCAGGACGCAGGAAGCCTGCAGCAGAGCAGGGGGAGGGGGGCTTGCAGGCCACACCGCCCTCGGTGCTGGGTTGGGGATCCGAACAGGGGCTGAGCTTCTGGAGGAGGAGCTCCACTCTGGGACCACAAAGGAGGGGCCAGGTCAGAGAGGTGGGGACACATTGGACAGTTATGCCCTACACTGCCCTCACGCCTTTGCTCCCACCTGCCATGGAGGGATCAGGTGTCGACCCAGCCGAACTGGCTCTCCACCCCTCGGGTGTCCTTCAGAGTCAGTGGCCTGCAGGTGACCTGCCCGACCTGGTTGACCTCCTCCCCTCCCATGAGCACAGGGAGTCCCCGGGAGACCAGGGGAGGACAGCTCCCACCCACACCTGTTCCCCTCTCCGTGACTTTAACGTCTTAGTCGCCACACTCTCGGAGCCAGGCACGGGCCGTGGATTCAGGCGGGTTTTTGACTGGCACAGCTCTGCCACAACCAGCCTGCGTGAGTGGGGGCAAGTTGTTAACTTGTCAGCAAAACGAGTGCCATCCGTCTCACAGGGTGGCCGGGGGGGATGAAGCGATTACACGAGTGTCCTATGTACAGCACCGTGTCTGGCACCTAGAAGGGCGTCTTTTCCTTGCAGATGAGGGACACAGGTGGGCTCTCTAGCTGCAGGGTGGCCCCCCGCCACATCCCAAGGGGAGGGCCCCAGGAGATGCGGCCCAAAGGCCCCCGTGGACGTCCTGTACCGCTGTCTTCTCCAAGGCCCCCGAGCCTGCGGACATCTGGCCCGGGTCTAGGCTGGTCAGTGCCCAGCTCAGGCTTCTGCCCCTCTTCTGGGCCGTGACAGGGGACGACAGAATGGAAAGGCCCGGCCCAGGCAGCACCCCGGGAGCAGAGAGCGGGCTGCAAGCCCACGGTGTGTGGGGTGCACTGGGGGTACCCAGCACTGGAGTACAAATGGGTGGGAAGCGGCCTTTCGCTTGGGTTAGGTGTGCATGAGACCCCGTGAGCTGGAGAGGGCTTCTCCTTCAGTTAAGAGCGCAAGCCACCGGAACATTAAATATCAGAAAGCTGCTTTCCTGTGACCCCAAACACAGAGGCTTCCTTATCCATAAACAAAGCTGCTCTCCTCCCTGGAGAAAAAGCGACACCTAAAAATAACATAAGCATGCAAGGGCTGAGCAGACAGGGAATGGAGGCATTGGAGCATGCCAGTCGAGGAGCCAAGGTGTGTGTGTGTGTGTGTGCGTGAGTGAGAGAGAGAGAGAGAGAGAGAGAGAGAGAGAGAGAGGCTTCTGCCCATATGTGTCTACCCCCAAACAATCCCTGTGTGTCCTACATGCCTGTCAGTCTCTCAACATTCACTCACTCTGTATTTATCTTTGTTCAGACGTTTTTCCTGCCTCTTTTGTAGCTCAGTCTTCTAGACCTTAATGCATGTCACTGGCTCTGTCTGTTCCAGCATTTTCTGCCCCAGTCTCTAGGAACCTACTGCAGAATCTTGCATGTTGGTTTCTACTTTTCTGCCTCTACCCCCCCCCCCCCCCCCCCCCCCCCCCCGGGGAGCTCTCCTAAGGCGAGGGCTGTGCCTTCTTCGGCTTTACATCTCCAACATGCTCAGCACAAGTAGAGGTGCACAAATGCTGGCTGGACGATGGATGATGGATGTGGCTAGTCCTCACACCTGTGCCCTCTGTCCCCCCCAGGTATGACTTGCCAGGCACGGAGCTCCTACATGGATACAGAGGTGCTCTGGGGCCACCGATTCACACCAGTCCTCACCTTGGAAAAGGGCTTCTACGAGGTGGACTACAACACCTTCCATGACACCTACGAGACCAACACGCCCAGCTGCTGTGCCAAGGAGCTGGCAGAAATGAGGCGGGAAGGCCGGCTCCTCCAGTATCTCCCTAGCCCACCCCTGCCGGGGGGCTGTGCTGAAACGGAGCTCGATACAGAGGCCGAGCAGGAGGGAGAGGACGGGCCCGAGGGCCTGGGTGGGTCCCGGGAGAACACGGGTTCGGTGTGAGGACGGTACTGTCCCCACGACCTCCCCTCGCTGGCCTCTAGGGGCACAGCACCTGCCACAGAGCCGGGGGAGGAGGAGGAATGATGTGACTGCGCTGTTTGGGGGGCCCCGGGGTCATCAAGGCTCCATGGGGAGGAACAGTATGTCCAGTCCCGGCATCTCCCAGCTCAGCCCTTCCTGAGTAGGGGGCCTGTGGCCTGGGCCCCTGTGGCAATGCTGCCTCTTCCCTCCCGGCCTCTGCCAGCCCTGGCGGCAGGATGGGTTTCCCCACAGTGATAGTTACAGAGGGCCCTCTGTCTTCACACACACTTCTCTCTGCCGGCTGGCCGGGATCACCCCCCTCTTTGGATCTCACAGACCACCCAGCAGCTCCCCTCCAAGGGGCAGCTCCCCTCCAAGGGCCAGCACCCCTCGCCCCTCATCCCTACCACCCTGAGGCTTGTTGTGGATTCTGGGCGGGGAGATTCTGCCCCCCTGGAAGCTCACACCCCTGGTCGTGGGCTAGGCTCACAGACCTCATGGGTTAAGGTCAATCCACATCACGCAGGCGATTCCTCCCAACTCCCAGAGCAGTGTCCACCTTCTGAGAGCTACAGAGGACAAGGTCCTTGATGGTCTGTCCTCCTCTGTGTTTCCTCTGCTGTGTTCTGCGTGTCACATGTAGCCTCCCAGACACCTGGTCTCCTGGAAGTAACTCTCAGAAGCTGGCCTGGGCCACCCAGCGCACCCACGAGCTCATGTACAGCTGTCACGGGCCACTTCCTGGCCATTCCCCATCGTACTGTGCCCCACAGCTCCCGCCCAAGGCAGAACCCAGTGGCTGGTTCTTTTCTCGCACTTTTGGCCCAAGAATCACAAAGTACCTATCACCTTCGCTGTAGTTTTCTTTCACGGTCTCAGCCTGTGGTGAGATCCAGGGAGAGAGTGGAGTTTCCAGCGCAAGATGAGCCAGTCAGGACTGAAACCAGGAGGGGGGAGGAAAACCAGAGAGGCAAGCAATTAAAATTTTAAAATGAGAATCAGCGCCAATCACTGCCAAGACACTCTGACCTCGGGCTCAGCGCCCTTACCTGAGGGGAGGCAGTTGTGAAGCACAAAGAGGGGGAACCGGGAGGCCTCACCTTCCAGCCCAGCTGAGAAGCCCCTGGGCCTCCTCCCCGTAGGCTGGGCCCAGAGAGCAGGAATGAGGCCCGGGGGCAGACGGGAAGGGAAGGAAACGTGGGGCGAGGGCAATCAGTGGGAGAATCAGGGAGCCGGGGAACCTGAAGAGAGAAAACAGCAGAGAAGGGCCTTCAAAAGGACAACTTCCGGAGGTTTTCTTTTCCAGTTTAGCGGCACAGGAAGAGGGCGGGCAGACGGGGCAGATGGTCAGGTCCATGAAGCACAGCTGACACGTGTCGAGGCAGACAGGCTCCTGAGAGGCTGCCCTGGACCTGGAGAGAGATTTCAAATGCTCCCTGGCTGCAGAATTATGATTTTCACAGCCCTCAGCTGCCCTTTGAGAATGGAAGCACGTTCCTGCCCGCTCTGAGGCACCTTCCCTGGAAGAGAGAGGAGCGCCATGGTGAGGCAGAAAGTTAAGGCGGAGCAAAGGGAACGACTTCTGGGCTCTCAGGCCCACATCCCCTCAGGCTGGGCTGGTGTGCGAAGAGGAGGCAGGCAGCCTGGATGGGGAACTGCCTCTTGTGGGGCCGCAATACTCAGAGGAAGGGGATTCTTGTGCTTGGGTATGTGGACTCCATCTTGAGAGCAGGCACAGGGACAGGGCTGGCAAGGCGTTGGGGGCGGGGGGGGGGGTCTCCCTGCCAGGGGCATGGCGCCGAATCCCGGTTCCAAGCATTTTTCTGTGGTGAGGCAGGTATTGGAGGGAATGGGGGAATGCACTAGAATCCTGCCCCCACGGAAAGGGGAAGCACCCCAGCGGGGAACTGCATGCTATCAGGAATCTAAGGCATGCAGTCCGTTACTAAGATGGGATGTCTTGACTCTCGGGTGGGCTCCAGGCCTCACCCCAGGCCTGTCAGGTCCAGGGCTTGCACAGCGGGGCTATTTCCTCAACCCCCCTCGCCAGACCTAAAACTGGCCTTAGTCAATACCCATCAGTGCCTGCGTGTTAGAGCCCTCGGTGAGGCAGCTAAGAAGGGGGGCACCGCAGGTGAAGCTAACGCTTCAGCTGGACTGGAGGGGCCCGCTTCACACCTGCCTCCATCTCCAATTCTAAAACCTCCCCCACCGGGCCGAGTGAGCCAGTCTCTAGCTGGCTAACTCTGCCGTGGCCTCCATGAACCCGGGGCCGTATCATGTCTCAGCCAACTACAGAAGCCGTCGAGGCTGCAGAAGCCAATGAGATCAATGCGGTCCTCTTCCAAAGCTCCCCGATTAGTCAGATACCAATCCCAGTGTGCATATTCGCTGCCTTCTCTCATGAAGATTCAATTGCAGGAAGACTGACTGCCCTTCATATCTCAAGGAAATCCTTCTTCGTGACCACTCGGTACACCTAAGAAACATTCTTCAAATCATTTTCTGGAAGTTCTCGTGTAAGCGTGCACTTACTAAATGTCGAGTCTGGTGGGGGCCGGACCTTCGGTGGATCACTTTATAAACGTTGCACCTGCACACCAGCCATGTGTGGATCACAGCCCTTAGCTACACAGCTCCAAGCCCGCCCATCACTTCTGAAGGGCCACATAGCTGAGTTAAGCCGGTTTGTCAGGCACGCCCACTGGTCATTCCCATAGGCCTCAGCACCTCCCAAATCCCAGAGCGGTATCCCACAGGTCAGACCCTGAGGCATTGGGAGCTAACTTCTTGCCTTAGCTTCCATGACCTTCCTTTCTGAAATCACCCCTTATAAGGGAGGAGCCCCTGAGAACTCAGAGGATGCTACGTTCCCACTAATTCTCCTCTCCCCATGAATCTGACACCTGATAGGTGTGGACAGCATTCCCATTGACCCTGTTCTCCGGCCAGGTAGAATGGGTGTTGCCCGTGACCGTTCCCTGCAGATGCCACCCTTGTGCAGTCAAAGCCCACTTCCTGTCATTCCCTTCCGCTGTCTTGAGATCCTGGCCTGAGCAGTTGACCTGGCTGGAGGAGGAGAAGCCCTTGTCTTGCCTGACAAGAGCCCTCCTTGCTCACCACCTATAACAACTGGGCACCTAGTTTCACCTTATTTATCCCGCGCCCTGCTTTCCAGCCTGCCTCAACCATGTGTCTCGTGTGAGTTGAGAGCCACAGAAACTTGAAATTTTTGTACTGAAATTGCCAAAAGCAAAAACAAAACAACACACACACAAAAACCATCTGCCTGTTGTCTTCTAAGAATATGCCCTGAACGCATCTCTGCACATACACCATTTACTGAGCACCTACTACGCGCCCAGTGGATGAGGCACTTCACCCGGATGATCGCACTTCATTTGCAAACACTGCAGAGAAGCTCTTAGTAACCCCTTGTTACCAATGAGACAAGTGAGGTGCTGACAAGGTTAATTAGTTTGCTCAAGGCGGCAGATAATGATAGGCAGGGGCCTCTGAGCCAAGCCCTCCCAAACACAGAGAGGCCATCATGGTGCGCCTCACCCCCCTCCAGGGCGACTCCTGAGCTGTGGCCACGGCAACAGGAGCATCCCACCTCTTCAGATCACCACTTTTCTGTGCTGTGCTGTAGACCGTCCTCTTCCATCCACCAGCATCGTTCTCCTGTGGCAGGATAATTGGGAGACACCTTTTTCTGATGCCTAGAGAATTAATGAGCTGTGAAAAGAGACTAGACGGGGAATTATTGCTTTCTGGAAGAAGCCACTTAATTCTGCTCGGCTTGTTTTTTGCTAACAACATCTCCTTAAACTGCTGTGTCAAATCTCTTTCCCCCTGTGTAAGATTTGTCAATCTTCTTATTAAAGAGAACACCATTACACAGCTAAAAATTCATCCAATAAAGTGGATTTGATCTTACAGAGCACTCTTTCCCATTTTAAACAGATGGCCACTGGTTTCCCATTCAAAGTGACTGCCGGTTTAAGCAAACTTGTCCTCTCGTTCTCATCAGTCTAAAAATGCAGCGTCAGTATCCAGCCCAGTGTTGAGGTGAGAATGTGGGCACAGGTGGGGAGGGCACCGGATTGAGGAGAGGCAGACCAGGAGTCAGGGCTGAGCCTGTAGGCAAAGTGCAGAGCAGGGAACCTAAGCAGCGTGGGTTCTCCGATCATTCATTCCCTCTCCCCAAATAATCGTCACACCTGCTTTAATGTTAAATATTCAGACTCTGCATTACCTAAATAATGAGCATCTTTTATAATATCCACTTTAGGGGCATCTGAGTGGCTCTGTCTGTTAAGCGTTCAACTTCGGCTCAGGTCATGATCTCATGATGCGTGAGTTCGAGCCCGGCGGCGGGCTCTGTGCTGACACCTCAGAGCCTGGAACCTGCTTCAGATTCTGTGTCTCCCTCTCTCTCTGCCACTCCCCTGCTCGCTCGCTCTCTCTCTCTCAAAAATAAATAAACATTAAAAGAAAAATAAGAGAACAAGAAGCAATATGTTCACTTGTGAAAGGCAATGCAGTCCTGGTATGTGTGGGAGCTTCTCCCATGTCTGGCTCAGTGGCCGGCCCATGATTAACCAGCTACGTCTTAGTCTGTCCAGGCTGCTATACCAAAAATAATAAAGACTGAGGCTTAAATAACAAACATTTATTTCTACCGTTCTGGAGTCTAGAAGGTCCAAGATCAAGGCTCTGGCAGATTTGGGGTGTCCCGCGAGGGTCCCATGTCCTAGTTCATAGATGCCTAATCACCTTCAAAGGCCCACCTCCTAACATGATCGCGTCAGGGGTTAAGATTCCAACATGTGAATTTTGGAAGGGACACAAACATTCGCTCTATAGCAAGGTATAAGAAGATCAGTGCGTGTGACCTAGGCCGAGGCAAGAGTGGGGCCTCTACATCAGCACAGGGCCAAAGCACCTGCCAATGTGGAGGGTGACATTGCCTTCGT